CCTCTTCAAATGAGGACGGATGCACACGGAAGACTTCCATTCTGGCCACGCAAGTGCGAAGCCCTTCCATAAAGACGATCACTGTGGCCGCCTCCGGGAGGGGATCTGCGGTCAACCCGGCAATGAGCGTTTGCATCTCTTGGACAAAATCCACCAATTGCTTGTTGCCCTGTCGGGCGGCAAGTAAACGCGCTCACACACGATACGCCTAATTAGGCGGCGAAAACACTAGGGAGAGCTGCAATTTTAGCTCCGCCGAGGAGGGAAACTTAGCTCCGACCGAAGTGCCGCACATCAGTGCCCATTCTCGCGCTCGACCACCGAGCTTGAAGATGGCTAGTACCACGCGCTGTTGCTCGGTCTGAAGCATGGCGGATGCGATAGCCGTCTCGACCTCTTTCACCCAGAGCAGGAGATCCTCTCCATCCTTCCCCTCAAAAACCTTTACGCTCATCATGGGCGGCATAGGCCGGGGGAAGTCATCCGTCACCGACGGTGGCGTCATAGACGAAAACGATGCAGACATCTCCTGCTGCAGGTACTCTAGCTGCGCGTTTTCGTAACTCGGAACCGCCTCTAGACGCGCACCGATTGCCTCGGGGCCTTGTGCCACAAGGTGTTGAATGCCTTCAGGGCCAAGTAAGGACATCAGCTTGTTAAGCCCGTCCTGCATGCCCTGGGGCAAAGAGAAAAATTCTTCCATCCCCACAGAGGATCAGTCTAAACGACTCAGGTGTTGATTGACTACAAGTGCTACCAAGTGCAGCGGGGCTGCCGTAGCTTAGCGCTTGAGGAAGCGTACTTTAGGTCACCGACCTTTCGTTCTTTACACGAACCAGGTGCTAGTGTAGCGAATCGCAATCCGTTACTTTTAAACACTAAAAACCTTGACCAAGGCGAATGAACACTTCTGTTCAAAATCAAAACTGAGTCTCATTTATTTTTAGACTAATTTTGAAAAGTTCGGATTTTCCTAAATATACTAAGTATATGCAGTAATACGCTTGAACTAACAGCGCCTTTAAGGTTCCAACGCACTCACACACTCACACACTTCACACTCACATCGTTATAAGTTCAAGCTTATTTGATTTAAGCATGTGTAAATTAAGCACTTTAGTGAAGACCCGTTTAGCTTGTTCACTGTGGATTGACTCACTTTCGGCTTTGGTCACGATACCGATTAACTTGAGTCACTGCGATCGACTCACTTTAGAGTTTAGTCACTTCCGATTCTTAAGCCAATTTTCGGCTACGCAATCGCTTTTGCAACTTTATTTATTGGATAAGCGAAGCTCAATGTGTTGTAACTCACGTGTTTGCGACGCTGATTAGACGTGATGACCGCCTTTAAGACTTGCCACAACTTTAAGAACCTTCAAGTCTTCTTTCTAAGAAATGACGGAGCTTATTTCGTTCTATATTCGCAAAACTATGAAGACTTATGGGGTCGTTATTCTTCAATATTTCGATAAATACTTCACGCGGTTGTGAAGCTTTACTGTTATTTCGGAGTGATCACCTTCGCGAGGTATCAAATACCATCTTGCGATGACGAATTGACCTCTTATATTAACCTTTAGGCTTTCAGGCTAAGTATGTCTGCAACAACTCTCCTCGTTCCAACAGCAAACCCTGGATCTTTGCGAATATCACCGTCGTCATAACCAACAAATCCGTGTGATGCCATAGGATTAATTTATTTGGCTAGAGAAAAAACTCCCTTGTAAATATAAGGCGACGTAAACTGGCTAGTGTAAACGGCTTCCCGCTCACAAGTTTGCGATGCTTGTCTCAATGCTGCCAAAACGACATCAAGATGTGCGCCGACACATCGAAGGGTGCTGTATATTTAAGTAAACCAGCTCCAAGCACTGCCGCAGCATCTTTCCCGCCAATCACCACGATAGAGCGTATATAATCCACACTTACCTCAGGTTTTGACTAGTGTGTGATACGCACAATTTATTAGGATTTCTGCTCTCACAGAAGTTTTTGCCACATATTACTCACCACTTCCACGCTTCAGAAGATGATAAGAAATCTCTTAGGCACTTTAGTTCGGATAACTAATATACGAACAAGTATTTAAACTATTATATTGGTGCCTCTGAGCTCAGACAAGTGCATAAAGCGTTGTATGTTACGTTTCCTGTCACACTTGCATACAGATTTATTCGCAATATGTGATTTGGCTTTCGCGCGACAAGATTGAAACTGGCTTCGCTGAAACATCCAAGAAATATCTCGGTAAGCCAAGATAGGGTGTTAAACTTTTCTGAGTTGTCGCTTGAAGGTTGACCGTTGACATAATGTGCATACCACACAAAATGTACATCATACTGCTGCAGGAGACCCTAAAACACTGGTCCTTCGAAATGTTAAAAAGCAACGACTTGCCACGACAAAAAGTAGTGATTTAACGCAAGGAGCTTATGCTGCTGATCCTATTATGATCGGAACAGCAGCCTCTTTCGTGCAAGTCAATACTTTTCTCTACTGTCGTCATAGGTCATTTATTTGTAGAACTTATAATTTTTGGAGAGATACAAGAAGTCATCATGCGTGGGCCTTGTTTTTTGGGACGCACTAGCTTCAACGGCAGCTTTCTTCTAAGTTTGCAAACTATTTAAATTGTTGAAGCTCGTGACCTTGGTTTACGGATCTGCTTGATGCTAGAATTGTCGAAAAATGCATGTGAATCTCATGATATGGGTTGTTCTGATCCAGTGTTATGGAACTCACGATAGCGACGCGACAACATGTCATGGTGGCGAGAAAAAGGCCTATGGAAAGTCGAGTAACGTCTTTTTGATATTGAGAAAAGGGGATTTTTTGTCAATTCCTCTTGTCATGGGTGTTTACATAAAAGAATTTCAGTAGAAACTTCATGGCAGATTTCTTCTTGTTATAAATTACTGTAATTGAAAAGAATCCACAGCGCACACTTCTTCTGAGAAATAGCATCTGCTCTTTTCTCAAACATTTTGGGTTGAGTATTTCAAAACAAAATACAATCAATCAAGACTTCTTTAATTTCCCAAGCCTAAGATTATGGAGGCACGTGGAATTGAAGGATTCTGCATCAATGTCACATGCAACAGATCCCTTGTTCAGAGCATTGAGTTCAGAATTTGACTACCTTGACTATCTTAAACTTTACATTACAACAACAACTATCAATTATGCCGGTTGTTATATTGAGAATGGTAAATCAATACGCAATATGTTAATTGCTAATTCTACTAAATTGCTGTTTAAGATATTTGCTCAGAAAAGTGATGCGTAGACATCGTATTACGTTTTTTCTTATTGACAAATAGTGCACACAG